GAGTTGAGAGGATGACGAAATCTCTCTATTTTTAGAATATTATATCAGTCTACAGGGTTTTAGATAACTTTTTGCTGGTGAAACACCACTATTATGGAGCATAAAAATTGTAAGTCTTATATATATATATATATATATATATATTTGAAAAGCTCATATATCTCTGAATTCAGATTGATTATTGAAAAAGAAAATGGCTTAAGTCATTGGCGATGACAAAGGACAACAGGTGAAAGACCATGTTCGAGCCTGCTTTTATCAAGAAGCGATGGAACAAGATGGAATATTTTATCAATCGAGAGTGGATTACTCAACAACTGCATCGTATTGAAATATGAATTATGGACAACTGGAGAAGAAAAAGAATGCGAATGTTTCTTTGAGAAATCCTTCTTCCATTGATAAACGTGGTACCTTGTTCCATCACTTTTCAATAGACGTTGACTCGAACATGGTCTTTCACCTGTTGTTCTTCGTCACTACCAATGACTTAAGCCATTTTATTTTTTATTGATTAATCTGAATTCAGAAAAATATTAACTTTTCAAATATTTATAAAACTTGTATTTTTGATGCTTCACAATAGCTGTGCTTCGTTAGAAAAAAGTTATCTATAACCCTGTAGATCAATAGCATACTCTAAAAATAGAGGGACTTTGCAATCTTCTCAAATTACAATACAAAGAAAGACAAAGCATGAAACAGGAAAATTTATTACCAAGTCCTATAAGAAAGTAGCAATATGTAAATCGTCATCTATATCGTTCTGCTGGGTTTTTTTTGTAACTTCATTAACTTTTATTATCATTTTCTTTCTGGTTTTTTTTTTATTCAAATTTATTATTGCTTTTGTTGCACGAAAAAGTGCAGTCTCTTGTTTGATTTACATAAGTAAGCACACTTTATTTTTCTCGTTTATGACAACAATAATTATTTTTTTATTGTATTCTTGAATTCATAGGAAAGCAATGGCAGCAAACGCAAAATCTGGTCGATGGCGGGTTAAAGTGACGTCACTTCCAACATCCATTACTATAGAGCAATTATCTCTCTTATTGCATCTTTCTCCCTCACGAATCCATATTCCAAAAGGTCAAGAGAAAGCAACTTATTATGCCTGGATCGACAATTTTGACGACGAACAGGATGCAAATAAATTCGTGCTTCAAAATTCACAATTAACCATTTCCAGTCTGCATATAAAATGTTCTGCAGTTGAGCCTAAAAACGACGATATGAATTCTCAACGTCAACCACGAAGGTGTTCCGTGGATACTCGACCACAGAAAATACCTCCTTTGATGAGTACTATCCTTAACCAAACCATAGAACACAAATTTCCACAGTATCCCCATCAAAATACGCAGAATACTCACAAGCTACAACAAAGATCAAGTAAGTTTTGTTCACAGCAAAAAAGAAAATACACGAATTTAAATGTGGTGCCATGTTGGATGTCTGTAAAAAACATAACGATCTTTCCTTCTAAATATATTTTCGAAAATTCCCAATAGGATATATTTCTAATACTACACAAATTTTCAAAACTCAACATTTTGTCAATTGAATCCTGTACTTTCATATTCATTACTATATATGAATGAAACTTTACCTTGTAATTAATAATGTTTTTCGAAATAGTTTTTCATTAGAAAATTTTACAATATACTTTTAGTTGATTAGACTTTTTTTCATAAGTAACTTACTTGAGAATCCTAATTTAAAAGTTACTATTTATTTAAGACGGACTCTCAACAACGGGGTGTGAATGGGGTTGTGGGTATAGGTGTTTCTTCGTTCAATACTTACACCCACACCCTTTAATTAAGTTTTTTAAAACGAAGTTAAAATGAAATGTAGCATTTCACTTGAAACTTTAAGACATGACAACAATACATATGATGATAATGTGAGTTTATGTAAAAGTCATATTTGGTTCTATTATACACTCTCTATAGCTCAGTGGTATTTCTTGTTTCCAATTAAGCATCTTTAAAATGGAAATATCTAAATGTTGTGCTACATTGTAGCGTCAGCTGCTCGAGTTTCAACGCAGACTTCCGATGTTGAGTACAAACGTCAACCTTGCCCTTATGCGAATAGAGGCTTATGTCGCTACAAAGATGGTGAATGTAAATATCGTCATACAAGATGTCAAAATTATGATTCATGCTCACAGTCCAACTGCCTTCTTGCTCATTCATCACGATCATCATCCGTAAGTTAAAACTTAGAAACGTTTTATCTTTAGTAGAAAACTTTATTCAACCTTTGGATCGTGCTTAGAAACAGTGTCTTAATGGTATCCGATGTTTCAAATCTGATTGCTCATTTGACCATCCGGAGGGATGGAGTGTCTGTGATGATGGAGTACAATGTACTCATTATGAGTGCATTTCCAACCATCCACCTGGTCGCAAAGAAAAATGTCCTGATGGTAATCGATGCGACACGAATAATTGTAAATTTCTTCATCCGAACATGCATGCAGGCGAATGTTCATGGGGTACAAAATGCCGTAAATGGACTTGTACGAAAATTCATCCGGTCGGTCGAACTCAGCTTTGTCCGAACAAAAACCATTGTAACGATCATGCTTGCAGTTACTTACATCCGCCTAAGCATGCCGAACCATCAAAACCAATAGTCGCTATGCCGTTGGTAACGTGTAACAAGCCAAACATCTCTCCTGGCTCAGAAAAGGAAGGACCAAAAGAAGTAATTGAGTTAAGTATTGCCGAGCAAAATTTTCTTGAATCTTTTGGCAGCAAAATCTTGGATAAAATTCGTAACGAACAAGATATTAAAAATGTAAAAGTTAAAGGTGGTAAACTTCAATTGTCAGGAAATAGTTTAACAATTACAAATATAAAATCTTATCTAAAACAAGCACTTCATGAACAGAATGTGACGATCACAAATAGCTTGAAGAAATATTTACAGTCATCTGCTAAAGGACGTTTAATAAAGAGATTTTTACAAAAATATTCTGTAGGAATTTCTTATCTGGAAATATCAACAAACGCTTCTTTGACTTCCAATGATATGCTTACGAGTAAAAACCGTATTCATGGTCATGATGAAGATGAAAGAGAAAAGCAATACAATAACGATCGTGATGTGAATCAGTCCGAAGACGAACAAGAAGAAGAAGAAGGAGAAGACGATGATGATGATGATGATGATAGAAAGAGTGATATTTCGAATACATCATCCAATGTCACAAATATTTCGAGTAATTTTAAGCATCGTCGTAATTTTGCTCAAAAATTTATACAAGTAACTTTATGCAATGACTCGGAAGATTTATTATCTAAAGCCATAAAAGAATTAAAAAGTTATAGTTTGTACACTCAATCATGGGCATTAACACAAGATGAAATTACATACATTTTAAAACAACCACAAACGGCCAAACCTTCAAAAAATAATACTAAAGTTGGTAATCAACGTTTTCAGATTAAACATTATCTCAGTGGTCTCATTCGATCTACTCCGAATTCGATCGTAGAAATCTCTGTAGATTATAAAAATGGTATATGGCGTGTGAAAGTGAGAGGATTTAAGGATCATGTCAACAATGCTGTATCGAAAATAAAAAATTGGTTAAACGATAATATTGAAACTGAAGTACAACTTCCTATTTCAAAAGCTATGGCAATTTTTCTCCGAATAAAAGCTTCATCTGATATAAAAAAACTGGAAAAAACTCATTGTATAAAAATAACAATCATTTCCCCACCTTGGCGAAAACATGGGAATGACGAACAAGATGATGGCAATGATTGTCTAAAACTCAGTGGTTCTTATTCACGCATTAACTCGGCAAGAGAAAATGTGGGAAATTTTCTCGAAGGTTTATTCGAACAAAAAAAAGTATTTCTTTGTCATAGTTGGGATGCTTCAAGGAACATTTCCCAAATTATTCGTACACGTCTGAAAAAACTACAAGATTCGTATGATTGTGAAGCAATAGGATGGATCGAAATCTATACAGTGATCGAAAGAAGAGATACTACACCAAGAATAACTGTATCAATAGTTGGTCTAAATGAAGAAGCAGTTGATAATGTCATTGAACAATGCCAAGATATTGTAGAAGGATATGTTATTTGGAAACCATCTGCAGGTGAATATCGTTCGATATTTAATGCATTAATAGTGAAAAGATCGCCATCTATTGATGAATTTCGACAACAATGGGAAACTGATATACGGTTAGATCGAGATACGGGTACTATCGCTATTCCTGCACCATCGAAAATGATTGCAGATGATATCAAAGAAGTTCTACTGAGTTTGGGAGAAGAAAAAAAATCTCGAATGAATCGTATATCTGAATTCATTCCTATTCAACGAAATATTCGTCGTTTTGTTAATAAAGCTATTGGTTCCTTACTTGATGAAGCAAAAACTCAAAGAATTTTTGTAGAATCTAAAAATCCTAATGGATTGACACTACATGGTCCTTCTGATATTATCACTGAAGTCAAAAATAAGATCAATACTATTATCAATGAAATTGAACAAAAGATCACTACACATCGTTTGCAATTATCGTCAGCCGAGTCAGACTTAATGCGAGCCGATGCATATAAACTAGCAAAAATTATTGAACGAGAAACAAATACTATTATTCGAGATGTTATAGCAGATCAGACTAGTTTTACATTAAAGACGAATGATAACGATTTTAACTCGACTTTAGCTGTTGCTGTAAATAGTCGTGGTCAAACAATTGTCGTAGAGAAAGGTGATATCACAAAAGTAAAAAATGTCGATGCAATTGTGAATGCAGCAAATGGGTCATTGTATCATGCAGGCGGCGTAGATAAAGCGATTGCTGATGCTGCTGGTCCCACACTTGATCGAGAATGTAAACAATTAATTGCTAAGAATGGAGGTTTACCCATTTCTGCTGGTAAAGCAGTCAAGACAACAGCTGGCAATCTTCCTTTCAAATGTGTTATTCATGCCATTGGTCCTCAATATTCTGATGGGGATCAACAAGAACGCCCATTATTATTCTTTAGTGTTTTATCTAGTTTAAGACTTGCTGAAGGTGAAAGTTATACAAGTGTTGCTTTACCAGCCATTAGTTCTAAAACTTATGGTTTTCCATTGGCAGATTGTACAAATATTGTAGTTCGTGCAGTAAAACAGTTCTTTGCCGATTATCCACAATCAAATGTAAAAAAAGTAATTCTATTAGACATGGATGCTGCAGCTTGTAATTCATTTGCACGTGAAGTTGTCATCGATCATCGAAATGAATTGGTAGACGATGACGATATTATCAACTACGAGTTACCTCCATTAACAGCTAAATGGTGTTGGCAAAGTGATAATGGTGAGAAAATCAATGACGAAAACCATGCACGTCAAATCGAGGACGCGTTTCAACGATATTTGAAAACTTCCCCTATACCGACATTGGTAATTCATGCTGATAATTTACAAAGTGGTACTATTGTTGATTACAGTATCCATTTTCTTCCTAATTTGAAGCAATTGTTGGCAAGCAATCCAAGTGCACTAAATGATCGTCTTGTCTGTGGATATCAAAAGAGAATAAGTAGTGGCTATGAAAGAGATATTATTCGCTACCCAGTAGTGCAAACGATTCAGTCAACACCTGTTGCTTATTCTCCTAAACCATTGGATTCATATCATTTACAAGTAGTAACGACAAAAGTCTATTGGGATGTTACTGGTATCGCCCGTGAAGCTGTACAACAAGCTGAAAGAGCAATTCGGAAAGTAATCGATTCTGCCACGATTTCAGAACCTTACTCCATACCTCTGAATAAAGATTTTGATACTCATAAGAAAGAACTCATCAAAATTGCAACTCAACAGCAAATTCAAATTGATTTTCAACAAGAGTGTTCAGGACAACTACCAATGGTATTAAAAGGTTTAAAACCAAATGTAGAAGACGCAAAATCAAAAATTACTTCATATGCTCTCGATACCTTGAAAATGCAAGTAGATAACGATCATATAATATGCATACCTAAAAAATGGGGTGATCAAACAGAAGGATGCAAATTAGTTGAAATTGCTCGGAGTGATCCTGACTTTGTTCGTATTGAAAATCGTATGAAAGAAACAATGGCAAGTGTAAAAATCGATAAAATAGAACGAGTACAAAATGTACGTATGTGGAGACATTATGCATTTCGTCATCTCGAACTTAAAAAGGAACTAAGTCATATGCCTAATTTACAAATTGAAATGGAATTATTTCATGGAACGAGAGCAACACTACCGAGTGAAGTTTACAATGGTGAATACGGTTTTGATATGACATTTAGTACAAGTGGTATGTGGGGTATCGGTACATATTTTGCTAAAAATGCTTTATATTCGTGTAACGGCTATGATTATAAATTACCGAATGGTAAACGCCAAGTATTTTTAGCTCAAGTGCTGACAGGTGATGCATATGATTGTAAGAGTGATTCAAATTTACGTCGACCTCCAAAAAAAAATGAGACGAAATCTGGTCTACGATATAATAGTGTATCAGGTGATACAGGTGGCAGTAAAGTTTACATTATATACGAAAATCGTGTGGCTTATCCTACCTATTTGATTACATTTACGTGTTAGCTTTTCGAAAATTTTCATTGAATTTGTTTTTCGCACATATATTAATCTCGAATGGCTTAGTTAGATTTTTCAATAAAATAAAAATACGTTTTGAAAAAAATGACTTCTTCATTGAACTTTAAATTAGACATATGAAAATAGATTTCGTATTGAAATTTAAAAAAGCGCTCCCAATAAAATCTTTATCGGATTAAACTTCGGAACTAGTTTTAAAACCAAAAGTTAACATGTCACAAATTTTTCTAAAGAATCGAAGATCGTGATCTATATATTGACAAATCTTTAACGATCTGTGAGATGAAATGAAGATGATTCACAATTCTTGATAAATCAACAATGATGATCAATCACAATAATCAATATCAACTGAAAAGTTCGTTCAACAAGAAAAGCAAAATCTTAAAAAGAAAATTTGTTTGAATACTAGAGGCATAAGATGAATGAACCAAAAAAGCCTTATTAAGTTGATTTTGTACCACCATCAACTAATTTCAGGGAGGACGGGAACATTGTATTCGAACACTTAGGAGTATTGACGAGCATCTTGTGAAGTTTTAACAGTGATTCCAGATTTTGGAACATTCCAAATTAACAATAAAACAATCTATTAAAAAAACGCAATTGCAGAATAAGAAACAAACAATAGTCGCATTTGTAGGACAAAAACAATCACTAATAAAATTTTGACCACTTAACAAAAAAGAACAGCAAACCCAACTGGGTGTGAGTGTCCATCAACAAAGGTTTCATACCCTTCTATAACCTATTCATTCGAACTACCGCTGTGCCATTCATCAGGACATGTGCGAATCTCGTCACCTGTGATGGCATCTATTCACAATTGTGCCTTGCTCTTTGATCTCAATATTATTCTGGTTGCCAGTCCGAGTGAGGATGTTAATCTAAGGTGCAACAATTTTAGGAAATCGATGACTGTTGTTTCAGTAACGTAAAAGAGTTGATTGTTTCGTTTCCAGGGAAGCAGAATTTTACGATAATTTGTGGCAAACACAATCATATTTAGACCTTCCTCATCTTCTAGGAAGTTCTCGCAAAATCTCTACAGAAACTGCCAAAGATAAAATGAAGATAAAGAAAAATAAAAAGAGAAAAAGAAATTTTATTATAATATAAAACTTTAGAAAAACAAGAAAAAACTTTATCACGCGTTTGCAAAAAAAATGAAGAATAAACGAGAAATACACATAATCTAAATGCACGCAAATATGTAGGAAAAGAAAGCAACAAACAAAAAAGAAAGATAAATTAATTTAAAGATAAAAATAGAGATTGAAAACATGAGAAATACGAGCCCACCAATGTAAATGTTTTGTTTTTATTTGGAAATTTTGTTGTATAATTTGTTATAAACTTCGTTTTCTCGACTAAATTTTATTGATATTGGTTCATTATCAGTGGTAATTACGCTATTAAGAAGATAAGAAAGTTGTATATCGTAATAATAACATGATAATTTTGGTAGAGTGATGGTTCATAAACTATCTATTGTTATAAATTGTGGTGGGTTTCTTTCAACTGAATCTTCAAATGCTTTTATCACGCGAAGCTAGAATTGTACAAAGCCAACAATAAAATGCGTATCAAATAATTAAATAAATAGAAAGACAAAAAAATAGGAAAAGATTGATTAATTTTTCGTGCATATACAACATTTATCGAACAGATGGATTAAACCTCCAAAGATAAATAGATGCACATGATGTTTATGTTATGATATTTTAGGATGATTTAATGAACAGACGTAAAGATGCAAATGTACTTTTCATTTAAATGATAGTAATTACCGTTGAAAACATTCATTGTAGACTTATAAAAATTCTTCAATGTTTCGATTAGAATAAAGTTATTATTAAGCATATCAATTTTCACATTGTTGATTTTTCTTTTTTTTATATCCCTGCATTTGAAGACATGTTATTCTTCCAAACCAAAGTTGCGTCTTATGTTAAACTTGCTCCTAGTCTTGACGGTTCTTCTGGACCTAAGTCAACAGATAATGCTAATTCATCAACATCATCTACACCCAATTTCGGTATATGACGTGTCACCGGAATCAAATTAATCACCTAAAATAAATAAAATCTATCAAAAAATGAAACTTAAATCTCGTTACTTGATGCCATAGAAGAACTGAAACTCCAAAAAAAAGACACCACATCCATTGTTCCAATGTTAATGCAACACAAGAAAATACAAATGAACCATATTGAGCAATAATAATTTGTACAATAAATGTAACAATCCATATATCACAAAAAGTTGAATTTGTAAATATTCCACGAAAAACATTTTTTTCATCGTGAATTTTTCGACAATTTATTTCATTAAATAAAGTCATTAAGACAAATACATTAAATATCATTGTAAAATGTTTAGATGGTTCAACTATACTATCAACTGGACGATCAGCATCAATATCAAATACTTTGGATCCTTTTGATATTCAAAAACAGAAACACAAAAAAAAGGCGTATAATTATCTCTATTCATAACTTCTTTCTTTTTCTTACCAGCAAATAAAATGAAAAATATAATAGCTAATTGATAAAAAACATGACCAATAATATTTTTCATAATTGTACGAGATATTAATGATCATGTACGTCCATAATATTTACGTGTTAATAAATCTTCTGTTGGTACTTCATGAGCAAGTGCAAATGATGCCACTGTAGTCATAATTAAATTAATTCAAAACATTTGTACAATACGCAATGGAGACTCTTTTACAATACATGCTCCAATAAAAATACAACGTATAGCAACAAAATTAATAGTTATTTGAAACTGAAAAATTCTTGCTATTGAATCATAATCGGTACGACCCCACATAACAGCTTTGATAATTGAATTATATCTGATGCTTCTTTTGCTACATCGGTACCTTGTATACCCTATTAAATAAATTAAAGATTTACTTTGACAATCAGAATTTACCACGATACAATAGTTGATAAAGCTTATTACTTAAGATATCGAATCGAATGTGAAAATGAATGCAATGTTTCCAGATTCACACTTTATCTATATTAATTTTATTCATCACGTAGGGATCAATGAGTTATGAATATTCTTAATACAGCTCTGGCAGTTAATTTATTGCTTTTAATTTTTATGGAGTAGAGCTCGTTGATCAAGCTAGGCTTCGTTCGATCCGAGTTTCAAAATTTTGAACTCAACAGGTTCTATTTCACAATAAATTATTCTCACAAAAACTTATCTCTGCATAAAATTTCGGCTTGGATAACCTAAGAACTTAAACTATTTTCAGGATATTTATAACTCATTAGGACCTGCATAATGCTCATAGTCTCGACTAATTGTGAAATTTCTCTTGTCAATCGAAACTCGACTCTCACAATCTAAAGCATAGCATAGCCAACAAATCCTATTCATCCTATCGTGTTTTATAATTTCATTCTCTCCTATATAAATGATTAAAAAAACAAACTAACCATAGCAAAACTGACATCAGCTGCTTTCAAAACCAGCAACAGTAACAACTTCACGTGTTGATTTGATTTTTGATGCCATAATACCTCTCACAAGTACATATTTATCTTGTGGTGATGAACGAGCTAATATACGTAAATTTGGTTCAACTTCAATTAAAAATAAAAAAACACAGAAAATTTTTTCAAAATTTGTCTTTGCTTTTCCATCTGGTCTTGATCTTATGCGTTGATTAAATTCTTTTCCTTCGAGTATTAGATAATCATCATTCGATGATATAATACCACATTTAAGTGCTATTGATCGAGCCGTATTAACATTATCTTCTGTAATCATTCGTACTGTTATACCAGCATTTCGACATTTAGTTATAGTATCAGGTATTTTAGGTCATAGAGGATTTTCAATACCACATAGACAAATACATGTTAATTGATCAACAACACTAATTTCATCATCCCAATCGGGTAAATTATCTGATGAAAAATCTCTATATGCAATACATATTGTATGTAAACCATCACATGCCATTGGTTCAATAACATTTTGTATAAGACGATCATAATCAACATTTGAAAATGGTACAATATCTCCATTATGAGTTAATATTGTTTTACATTTTTTTAAAACAATTTCAGATGCACCTTTTATATACATACGTACAGTTGAATCAGATCGTTGAATAACTGTTTGACATAGTTTTTCGTGCTGAGTTAAATTTATAAATATGAACAAATTTTTCTTCTGGATAATTTCCACCAAGAGCATCAATAAAACCTAATAAACTACATTCAATGTTATTTCCAACTTGTTCTGGTAATGTTTCTTTTTCTGATGGAGGCTAAAAGAAGATGAAAAACAAAAAATGAAAAATTTTTCATTATGAATTTTGTTTTTTGTATTTTGAAACATTGAATATTAACTTATTAATAATCTTGAAAAATAATTACTATTAACAGATACGCCTTCAAATATAATTTCTTTAGCTTTAACTGGATTTTGAACATTATATTGTTGTTGCATTAGCAATTGTTTCACATACATCCAAATTGCGAACTAAATTATTATCTATTGCCATTTTCTATTAGAAGAAAAAACAAAAAACATTATTTTATAAATAAATAATAAGAATTAAAGTTATTTAGCTTACTTTAACAGCACATGCTAATGATATTGTTACAGCTGATGATAAACCGTCAGGTACGACAACGATGAATGTTGTTATACAAGTGATTAAACATCTTACAACTCGACTCCAATATTTATAACCCCATTCACGTCTATAGAAGATATTTGAACAATAAATTGATGAAAGAAAAAAAAAAAATTTTTCTTTTACCCTTGAACCAATTCTTCAATTGGAAATGAAACCAATAGAACAAGTATAGTTAAACTAACAATTGCCATTCCTAGAAGCAAAAAAAGATTCTTCTTTTATTATATAAAGAAATAAAACTAGTAAAATTAAGACACATTGACGAACAACTAAAAAAACTACAAAGATTAATATGAGATCGATTTGAAAAATTTTACCTGCATATCTAATTTTGTTAATTGTGTACGTAAAATTGATCGTTCTTTTACTTTAAAACGATCAGAATCATCTTCATTACTTGTTAGGTTGGCATTACCAGATATAAATTCTTGTGATTTAGTTGCGTCTAATGCAAAAAAAACAGAATTTTTCTCTTAACATTATCAAAAGAAAACCGATAAGCAAGAAGCATTTGTAATGAGTGATTTAGTAGCAATTACCATATTAATATTAATATAGAATTAACGACATTAAAATTTAAAAAAATACCTTCAGCCGATTCTGAACTTCACTTTTTTTATTAAGTTATAATCAATCGAAATTCACTTTATATAAAAAAAAATTTATCATTTTTTCAAAGAGTATTACATCTAAGTCGTTCAATAGAAAATGAGTGCCTTGAATCAATTGTTAACTCAAGTCAAAACGGTAAGTTATCGTTGAAATGGATTCAGCAAAAAGTCTAAATGATATTAGTCACATAACAAAACAAAACAAGATTTTTTGAATCTTCAGTGTCTTATACAATTCTATAGGAGCACAATGAAACTCTGAATACATTCGTACAACCTTTATAAAATATTTGAGGAATACTTTTTTCTTTTTCTGTACTCTCTGAATTTAGGGAATGTGTGAACTTATCTATGTTCTTTTAACTTAATCATTGTAGTAAAAAATATTGACATACAAAAAGATATTTTACTTGTTTTCCAGAAATAATCGATCTTCTACAAAATAATTTATCTTTTTTATTTCTGAATTTCGAAGGAAAACATTTTCTTTTATGAAGTTCACATATATATTTTCGAAGAAGTTCGAAGTGAGAGTTTTTCAAAAATCTCGATTTAAAGTTACAAAACTCAGAGTTTTTAAGTAAGGCTTTTTTTTACTAATGTTCCAATTTTTTTGGCTTTGTTGCTATTATATATCTCGATTAACTTACGAACACTGATATCGATTAGTTTCCAAAGTTATAACTTGATCGATTCATACTTCTTTATGTTGATCATACGACAACTATGACGAATCAATACATCACTACCCATCGTTTTTGACATGTTAGATAGAAATTTTTATCTGCGTATAATTCAAAAATGTATTTCAGAAAAGCTTTGGAATGTTCTAGAGCAGTTCAAGGTTAAAATAAAATCTACATGTCATACTTTGTTTTACATTATCATTTGTTTTTTTCTCATGATTATTTTCTTCTTTGATTGCGCCTAGTAACTTGAATATCATTTTCGTTTGACTATGTTCGCCAACAGTCAAAACTAACATTTTACCACTACCTTCCACAACATATGTACCTAAACCAATATTCAAAAACAATGAATAATAAAATTTTAGCTATTGATTTTTTTATCAATAACAAAAAAAAGACGAATTTATCAACATGAAAGAAGAAATGGATCTTTTGATTCATATTTTTTAATTAAATCTGATTCTCCAGTTAATGATGATTCATCAACTTTGAGATCATTTGATTGTACAACAATACCATCGACTGGTAATGCATCTCCATATTTAATTTCACATATATCACCAACAATAATATCTCTTATTGGAATTTGTTGTACTGTGTACTTTCTCTAATAACATTACATTTTTGATCAAGTTCAATTATTGATTGAAGACTATGAAATTGTCGTTCTTTTGTCCAATCATTAAATGTTGTTGTGAGAACAACAACCAGTACAAAAACAATAATTGCTATACCTTCAATCAATTGAACATTTGCTTTCTCTAAAAATACAAAAAAGAACTGTCCTTGATCTTTTTTTGTTTTGATGATAAATTTACTTGGTTTTATTCCAGCTCCAAATGTATTCTCCACTTGGATGATAAAATGACAGCACATATAATAAGTGTCCAATCTTGTAAAGCATCAAACATAAAACGAAGAAATGGTCTTGGTGGAATTTCATTACGACCAAAGGCAGCTATACGTTTTGATAAATCAATTTCATCATCAGATAAGCCTAAACATAAAATAATAGATTTTGTAATTTGTGTTGTTTTTTTCTTCGTTTATCCTTATTTTACTTTGTTTTTATCTGTTATTAAATTTGTTTTGAGCTTTTGTTCAATACCACTAAGACCACCATATGTTTCATTAAGTTCTTTAATACCTTCATGGCCTCGTGTTTCCATCAATTTTTCTAATTCTTCAATAGAAATTCCAAATTCACGACGTGCGTCTTCAGAAGATAAATCATTATCACTGGTAGTGGATTTTTTCTTTTTTGCCATATGGAGTATTTAATGAAATGTATGGGACAGATGTTGGATTCTTTTGATAGAATTTAATTAGGTAATTGAATTTTCGAAGAAATTATTCTGTCGTTGAATATAAAGCAAATATAAACTCGTGATTGATTCACTTATTTGTAATACAGTGACAGATAGATCTTGAAACAAAAGACAAAAAGAAAATAGAAAAAAAACATCTTTGAAAACGTTGTCTCGTGGGAATATACCCAGGTAGACAAGGAAACTAGAAAAACGATGTTTATAAACACTAGGTTTCGTAATGTACTACTTTTCTTCAGCGTAGGATACAAAATATTGTTCTACAACTGAAAGTGACTGTACTATCAAAGTACATCCAATCTGTGAAATACGACTTGTTCGCGGATACGTCAACGATAGATTTAGGTGTCTGTAACACATCGTTTATTGTCAATAGACGAGTCGTTTCTGACAAGGATAATTTACGAGACATATTTCTGTGCTAGATTATACGGTCAAATACTAACGGACGAAAGTCCGTATACACATCATTTACTGACGTACAGATACCATTTTTTCATCGTTGACATGTTGAAAACGAACTGGAAACGGATTCCTTTTAATCAATGTAGTTAATCACGATCAAATTCTTCCACTATTGATACTTATTTCGTTTGGATTCTCTCGATTTCGAATATGAAATAAAATAATAAAATTATGGTATTATAAACGATGTTTATCAGTATTGGTAGATCTAAACTGTATATTATGTGCATATGTAGCGGCTTGCTTAAAACGTCTATAACGAAGAGACGAGACAGATTACATCGAAGAAAAAAATGCATTTAGATAAATTAATCATGATGTGTCTTTTCTTTTTCTGCCGTAGGTATGCGTTTTATTTTTTTTCCCACTCTTCGGATGCGCTGATCGAATACCGATTCAAAAGCCAAGTAACAAAAAGGTAATTACAAAAAAAAGTAAAGGCAAATTTTTGAATACCAAAGTTTGTAATAAGGAGAAATAAAGTAAATAACTGAGTTGTCTGTCGTTATAGAATTTTTAGTTAAACTAAGGAGGAAAAAGCTAGAATTTTGATTACATGCAGAAAATGATTCCGTTGAGGATGAAATCTATCGTATACGTGTGTGAAACATCAGAATTTTGGATGTGAAGTGTTAATAGAAAAGAAAAATGTACTCCAGACTTTGTCAAAATTATCTCAAATGTTAACAACTTCAATTTATTTATTTTCATGTAATTATAATATCGTTTAATGAATTATATAATAAGATCTATAGAGAAAAGAAGGATGTTTGAATTCGACTACGTGTCACAATTTCTCTTTAGATTTCTGAAAAAAATCTATATCCGCTAATGAAATAGCCTTCAAATATTTTGATTGTTGAATCATGACGATGATTGGGTTTGGGTGTAGGTGTGGGTCTCGGTATGGGTACGGATCTGGATGTAATAATAGATGCATAACACACGTCCAGACTCACACCCACACATCCACCCATCTTATGTTGTGATTAATCAATAACGTTGAATAAGACATGGAACTATGCAGTGAAACGCCCTCTTTCCAACGCTGAAAATCGCAGTGCTCTATCTTATTCCTATCAAAAATTATTCGCAATTTAAGACTAGTAGGTAACTTTTGGACCACCCTGTAGATAGTATTCTTTTAAAATACATCCAGAATTCATTTTCTTGCAAGTTACATTCTCTTTTTTTGAATGAAAAATCAATTTCGAGTTGGTCTTAATGGCAAAATACGGTAAAATAAAATATTTTGGAGGCGTTAAAATTTATCTCGATCTGTAGTACATTTGAAAAACTCTTCTAGAAGTTGATAAAAGTCTCTTTCCGTGTGCTTTTATTTTTGTTGAAGTTCCAAATGAATATAAGCTATTTACACATGTTAGAAGATCAAAAAATCTATGCGGAATATTTTCTACCGGTCGAGTAGGTATATAACATCATAAAACAGTCAAGAAATACAAAAAGTCAAAACTAAAGAATTGCGAGTACTCCAAACAGTATAGTATCTTATTTCTTTTGTGCTTCACACTTTTCTTTTATTGTATAGCTTTTGAGAATATATCGATAAATGGTGAAACATCTTTTTGATAAAATCAATAGAGCGCTATATTTTCAATCTTCAGACATGTGCTTTTACTAAACACAACTAATTAGCAAAGAATTATGGAGTTTTTTGTAATAATGATTATGAATGTTTATATCATTGATGATAACCATTATCATCGTGTTCTAATTGTTGATATTGAATCGATTAGTTAACAGCTGAGTAATTGAATAATATCTTGAAGGAAATATTCTCAAACATTAATTGTCCTTCCTTTAATTTTTGTTCTGTAAACAATCAAAAAAATATTGATGGAATAAAGTTACATCAATTGTTGTCAAACAATTACAAAAAATAAATATATCATTCTATATGCTAAATATTTTAACATGCTGAACATTAGAACGAGTTTCAATGGAGAATAATCCTTTAGCATGACATGAAGTAATATATTTTCCTCTAAGAATAAGGGGAAGTCCAGAAACTTTTGCCCTATTTTTGGTCATATTGTTTATGTTTCTTCAAGCTATCAAATTCTATTCTTGTTATAGACTAATGGATAAAAGCAATTTAAAAAACGATGATGATTTAGATTTGACTTGTCGATTATTATTGAGTGTAAATGTGAATTCTCCTTACACTACATAAAACCAATACTGGTCGAGTCTGATTTTCGGTAGAGTACCAGGAGAACGTAAGAATCCATGTCCCAAAACTGCCATCAATATGGGCACTAAGATCTTGTCCAAATTCGACACTGTAGCTGAGAATCCGACCGAACTTCTATGCTTTCTCTGAATTACAGATCGAAGCTGAGGCTAATTATTCAATCACAACTGAAACTGAGAGTTGACTGGCGATTTAGATCGACTGTACATCTGAGCCGCAAGCTAAGACCAGTAATTCAATCGTAGCTGAAATGAAGATGAGTATCGGTCCGTGAAAAGCTCCGGAATAGATGCAGAATCAGGAGTGAAATCTGAGTGAGTCACAGAATCGACTCTGAAAGCTGGACAAGAAGTGAGACCTGACAGAGTTCGCACTACACTCAGCCAGCGCGATAGACCTTGGGATCAGGTCTGAAATTGAATGCCCACTGAGATTGGTAGCAGGATAGCGGCTTGAAGTGCAACATAAATGAGAACTATGACGGGAATAGCAATCGTAATCGAAACAAAGATACACAAGGTGACGAGGATGGAAACGTGAACGAAGATGGTGGTCGATACATATATTGAAATTGAGATCTGGGTCGATGCTGCGACCGAGAACAATTCTAGAAGAGAACTAATATTGATACCGAGGTCGGAAATGCATCTGGATCTCGATCTTTGATGATTAACATGGTCATGAACACGAAAAACTTCTAGAAGTAATGCCAAAAACCAATATCTTTTCGCATATGTGGAAGGGACATCTGAGGCTTGGTTCAACCAGGATCATGGTATTGGACGGTATAGTATTGCTTGTCAATTGCTAATATTTTGTTGATACTGTGCAACGATGGCAAAAAACCAAGTAGAGTAGTGTTATAGTGCATAATTTTTCTGCCTTCGATTCACGCTATTTTGCATCCTTCAAGCTATTCGGACGATGAGTAATAGAACAAGCAAAATGACGATGATATTTTTATGAGTAAAACACCGTGTATCTCATTAAAATATCGTAATTAATGATATAACAAGCAAAACGTGAATAATATTTTCATGGGAAAAATATCAGGTATCTTATCAATATGTCATCATAAATGATCGAACAAGCAAAAAGATGATAGTAATTGTATGAAATAAATAAGGTATCTCAATTATATTTGATGATTGGTTATTTCAAGGACACGAATGAAGACACACGAGCCGAACTCATATTAGTGATGTACATATAAGCAATGTCTTGTTTTTATCTCTAGTATAGAACAACGTCGATATATTATTGTTATTCTGGTCGTCAGCACATAAGACTTCGTGTAATACAGAGAGCAAACGTAAGTGTTTTGAAATTGCATTTTCTTCAGAAAGCGTCTTTTGTCATCAGTATTCAGTGAATTTTTCTATCTTTAAATAGCGTCACTACCCTTATATTATTTTTTTTTCGTATCATTTCGGCAGAAATGTTCCAAAATTCTGTATGAAATGTATAGCAAATATTAACTATTGTAAAGCCACGCTTGTCACAAAATGTCTGTAGCAGAAGATGTTAATCAACTTTGTGAAGTCTCATGTGGAAAAAAGACCGTTCAACATTATGTTCTTTTACCATTCGAAGAGGTTTGACCTCACTCAAAATTAGATATGATACTGTACAGATAAAAACTGCTTCAGAAAATTTTCGTTGAGGGATTTCTCTTCAACTGAGCTTGGGCGAAGAATTTGCTTAGAATATTGCCGTCGGAGCGAACAGTTCTAATTAGGTTAGAAAAATCGTATTCCTCCTAAAATGACTCTGTGATTAACAGTATCCAGAAAATTCTCAAGTCATAATGACGAAGTGGGATAATGGGTTCATTTGGTACTAATGTTATCCAATATCCCTATGATGAAGATAAAAATCATAAAAGATTCTTGAGGAAAAGATAATGAGCGCACAGTTCTGAAAAAAGGGTGATTTCATTGAAGTACCTCTAGCTGTAAAACTTTGCTGTATATTTTTCGGTCACGGCGAACAATCATAAGTGTAAAACGGTTCAATTTTCCAGTAGTTTCATAGCACAATCATAGTACTAAAAAGTAATAGTGTCTTACCATAAATGACTCCCTAGCCTTTTGCTTTATATCTCTCTGGATTTTTATGGTGTCAAACCATAGAGATCAATTAAATAAACGCTTTCGGTGAGCTTTGAAAGCTGTACTCTGTGAGTGTACGTCAGAACTCTACCATTAAAAGCCCATAGAGTTAAATAAATATTAGCTTTCAGGAATTTTCAAAAATATCC